GGCATCGATAGGAGCCCAAGGCTCGGCAATGCTTTGCTTGTGCCTGAAGCGGGCACGACGGCCAGAGGCACCACCTTTGAAGGCAGGAGAAACAACAGTAGTCATGGCATGTTGTGTCCGATGCTGGCACAACCAAAACCAGGCAAGCAGTAAAACACAAGCCACCCATGCATAGAACAGCGAAGGTAGCGCGCAGAGGTGCGGAAGAACAATGCAGCCAACGACAGAGAGCTCTACGCAATGTCTGAAGGAGCAGGCGCAGGTAGAGCCTTGGCTGCCTGTGCACGCGGCTGCTTGGGAGGAGGAGTCTGACCAGTGGGACCTTCAGCAGGGCGTCGCGGGGTGGAGGCAGAATTGCTCGTTCTCAAAGGCTCGCAGCGGGGAGGCGGTGTAGTTGGCCCAGTCACCCCAAGCACTGGGCCGCCTTTTCGTGGGGGGGCACTTGTGCTGTCCAGGCTGGTCACCGCCGCCCTTGCTTCAAGGTTGCTGGGGTGTGGAGGCGCAGCAATCTCTATGGCCTGTGGACCCAGGGCGGTGTCTGTCGCAGGCACACACCACAGAAGCAGAAGCCTGAAGTCATGAGATGTCAGGGTGTCACGTAAGCAAACAAGGTTTCAAGAAAGGCAGGCCTCCAGAAGACGTCTTGTTTCCGGAGGTCTTCTTGCCAAGCTTGTGGAGGCGTTCCTTCAACTTCGCAACAGTGAGCTTCTCGAGCTCGGCTGATGCCTGCCCACACGTGCTGGCATTCCACGACAGGGGGCTTAAACCCCGACAGGAAAACCAAAACAGGGTACCCGACAACCAGAGAACCTAACCCCGACAAGCATGCCAAGCACAATGCCTGACAAAAATGCGAAGCAGAAACGGTGACAAGAATGCCAAGCGCCCTATTTGCGGAGCAGCAGTCTTCTTGTCCAGCGAAAGTGAATTGCAAGGCAAGCCTTTGGACTTCACTTCAAGCCACACCATCTCACTCGTATTCAGGGTTTTCCTATATGCCTTCGAGGGCTTGGAGGGCTTGGGGTTCAGCGTGTAGGGTTTTTAAGTGTTGGGTAGGTTTAAAAGGGTGTTTGTGGAGGCACTCTCCTTTCCCGTCACCAGCAGGAGCGAACGTGTGTGTCCTCTCCCGTCACCAGCAGGAGCGAATGTGCTGCTTGTGACGCATCTCGGGCAGCCGTTCCGGACCCGAATGCTGATGTGGAGTTTTGTCTTCGTCGACCAGGTGAGACAAAGTTCATCTTACGCTGGAGACGTCTGGAGATGCCGAGAGAAGCATAGCCCTAAACCCAAAACCTATAGTCCCTAACCCTGAACCCTAAACCCTGAACCTTTAACCCTAACCCCTGAGCCCTGTGCTATGTTCTTTGAGGAGCTGATAAGCCATCAAACCAGGCTCACTCCGGTGGAACCAGCGAGTACTGGAGGTATAGTTCTGAGCTGTGGCAATAAGCGCTTCCAGGATGTTTCCCCGTCTATTCATGCGGCCATGCGAAGATTTTCAGAAGCAGCACCATAGTCCTTAACCGAGAGGGCGGACGCACTGGCAAGGTACGGAACGGACACGAACCGCCACATTGCCAAAACATGTCAGGTGAAGTCCAGCATGACATTGCCGGGGTCATCGTAATCGGCCTATCCAGCATAGAAACGGATGCTGCGATGACCAGGCTGCTTCAGCCACTTGGGAAGTGCACCAGCCCTGTCCAAACTCCTGAGCGCTATGTGGCCAAGACACACCAAGGCCCGCAGAGAAGTCCCCAGTTTATGGACGTCCTTCCCCATCAGCAATTGCTGAACCTTTGCCTGCTCTGCCTCAGACACCCACTCCTGAACCAGGTCAAAAGCGGCCCACAGGTCAGTCTCGTGATCGCTCGGAGCAGTGGTCAGCCAGTCCGACTGCATCAACAGCTCCATCGCAGCCCCACCCTCTGCCGCACGTTCAAGCGCGGGATAGTCAGCTGGCTTGTCAGCTGGCTTGCCTTGCGGCTCTGCTTCTGCTTGTTCATGCGGCTCAGCTAATTTGGGAGCAGGTGAAGGCGACGAGTGTGCCGGATGCTCTTGCAATAAGTGCTGCAGGCGTCGCTCATGCTGCAACACAGCCTCTTCGGACATCTCGACAGGCACAGTGTTTACGCCGAGGTGTTTCTCCAGCAGTTGCCAGGCACGCTGCCTGAAAGCTTTCTTCTTCATCCAACTTTGCACATGAACCTGCCAGAACTGCTCTACCAGGTCGCTCCACTCCGCCGTCCCGCTCCAGTTCGCAGAACATAGATCGCGCGACCACTTGCTCGAGGCAAATTTAATGTGCCGAATTTCGTCGAGGACCTCTGCAAAAATCGGTCCCCAATGACCTTCCATGGACTTGTCAACACCTGACGAGTCTTCATCTTTTCGCGGCTGTGGCTGTGTCGAAGAGGACGCGGCTGCCTGCATAGCCTGCCACTGGACTTGCCCGAGGAAATGCCTCTCCAACCGCATTGTTTTTGCTGAGCCGCTCCGTGCTATGGAGAAACAAAGCTCTGGCCGGGGCTGTGCCGTGGCGAAACTTCTCTTGGAAAACTCTCGGCGGCCTCCAAACTGAAAGAAGATTGAATAGAATCTGCAAACAGAAAACCGCAGCCTGCCACTTCTGGACGTGTTTGCGAAAGCGCCAGTCCCACCACTCGGAAAACACCTCCATGTCCAAGCCACGGCCAGACCATGGGCAGTCTTTGTAGAGCTGCAATGTTCGTCGCTGGCGGTCCATCATTGCACGGAACAAGGTCGAAGTTCTCATTCGTTTAGGCGCTGCAGGCGAATCCGCAGGGCCGCTCCGCTTCGTCGCCTTGCTTGGAGGAGGCACCACCACAGGCTTTGACTTTGCAGCAGAACCACGATTGCATGGCGGAGGAGGCACCACCCTAGGCGGATTCGTCGCATTGCTTGGAGGAGGCACTACCACAGGCCTTGACTTTGCAGCAGAACCACGTTTGCATGGCGGAGGAGGCACCGCCCTAGGCGGATCGGACATAGCTTTCTGGTTTGTCGCGGAGCTGCAGAGGTGTATGCAAAGAAAACTGCAGAAGAAGCCATGTGCTAGCGAGCTTCTCCCACTCGATCGTTATGAGCATTGACCGATCTAAATGTTTGGGAGAAAAAGTACTGCGAGGTTGTTTCTAGTTTAACTTTGCCGCCTATGAGGTCTGTTGCTGACCTGCGCATTCACCGGTCTTAAGCCCGGATGTCATCGCTGTGAGAAAAGCACGGAACCGCACCAAACTGCAAAGGCTATATCCGCGGCCGCTGAAGCAGACAAGCCGACCATGACTTTTTATATAACGTACAGAAACACAGCGTTTGCTCTGTGATGTGTCATCCCCGGCCGCTGAAACAGACTCGCCGAGTGTGACACTATGCATGCTACAGCAGTTTTTATATCATGCTATATCCTCGGCCGCTGAAGCAGACAAGCCGACCATGACTTTTATATATAACGTACAGAAACACAGCGTTTGCTCCATGATGTGTTATCCCCGGCCGCTGAAGCAGACTCGCCGAGTGTGACACTATGCACGCTATTTCAGACAAGCCGACCATGACTTTTATATATAACGTACAGAAACACAGCGTTTGCTCCATGATGTGTGATCCCCGGCCGCTGAAGCAGACTCGCCGAGTGTGACACTACGCACGCTAATCAGTTTCTACATGATGCTATATCCGCGGCCGCCGAAGCAGACAAGCCGACCATGACTTTTATATATATATATATATATATTGTATAGAAACACAGCGTTGGTGCCCCACGCGGAGCTGCTCGAGCAGCGCGGCCTCTTCTTCAGACAGGAAGGCCTTCTTCGACCTGGGGCGAGCAGCAGGGAGGGGGGGGGGGGTGGCAAGACAGCGCACAAACTTGGCACACGGCTCAAGCAGCCCTAGATCGCCATCTTCGGAAGATGCTTTTGAGCTGGTTGCCTGACACACGACAAAAGCACGAAGCCACTTTGCTAAACTTTATCACTGTGCCATTTCTGGCATAAGCCCTGCTGAGCGAGATGCTGCAGTGGCGAGGCTCGTGGGAGCACCACTTGCTAGCGAAGCCTGCATGCAATACACAGTCACGGGTTTTGCGCTTGCAAGTGAGCCGAAGCAAAAACCAAGGACACCACAGCACCAGGCGATGATGCTCGTGGTCGGCTGGCCAGCGGAGAGTTGAACCGTGCACGCTTGGACGCAGGCTGAGGCTCCTGTTACGCAGTCCAAACACCCTCTAAATTGCAGCCAGAAGGTGTGTTCGGAAGGTTTTGAAGCTTTGGGGGGGAGGTATCATGGGCTCCTTCTGGAGCTCTTCTGCAGTCGGCTCGTCCTTATCCAGGTCGATGAGTCCTGGCAGAGGTTTGCAGAAGCATCATAATGGGCGAAATGTGAAACGCTGAGAGAGATGACAGTACTTCGGTTTGCATCATCAGCATAACGTGCGAAACGCTGAGAGTGGACACTGTTTTTGCAGCTTCGTTCATCGCTTCAAGACAGAAAGTTGATATTCTGCTTCGGGGCGGCCGACCCAAACCCTAAACCGAGCCACACCTAAGCCAAATCCAAAACCCTAAGACCTTAAGCCCGAAACCCTAACCCTAGACCGTAGACCCTAAACCCTAAGCCGACCCTACACCCTAAACCTAGCACCAAAACCTGAAGCAATCAGGCCAGACGTCGTCTGCGAGCTGGCGGCTCAGCATCCTCTTCGGAATCGTTCTCCATCCGAGGGCCTGGTCTGAGAGCCAGCGCGGGCTGGCACGACCAACTGCGGATTTCCAGGACTTCCAAAGCTGCGAAGCAATGCACACAAGCTCCTCGCCAAGCGAAAAGCCAACATGTAACAGTGCGGTTGACGAGGCTCTGCGTTTGGAATGGCCACCAAGCAAAATTTGTTCCAGACCTCTAAACGGCAAGAAAGGAATGTGATGCGGAGAGTGGAGCTTTGTATTATTGACGTCTCTAGAACAGAGAACAAAAAGGTTTCATTTCAAAAGGGACACCTGGCGCAGGGCTTTGAGACTCATGCGGGGAGGCTCGCCCGCGGCCTCCACAACAAAGCCCTCGGCCTGCCACTGCTGCAACAGCTGCGCCTCAGTCTGTTGAGCCAGGAAGTCATACAACTTGCGCGCGTGCCCCTGAGGCACTGCTACTGGCTTGCCCACCGCCATGGCCAAAAATGTCTTGTTGCGCATATCCAAGCGCTGAATTGACACGCCACCACGGGCTTTGCTTTTGTTAACAATGGTGCCGATGCTGGGAAAGTAGGTTTGCAACCCTCCCGGCCGTCGAATCGTCTGACCGTCAGCCAGCATCCAAGGGTCCGGCGTCTGTGGTCGCTGCAAATGAACCCCCCGACGAGTTGCCATCAAAGTCCTCACACCCTTGTCGCACTTGGCAAGCTCGTCCGTCAGTGGCTGTGACCAAATCTGCACAGTTCGCCTCAGGGCCTGGATGAGATCCATGTGGGCGCAGACTTCGTGAGGCGCCAACTGACGCTTCAGGCAGCGCCAGGCTTGTTCCGCCGTCTGTTGCGACGCACGAAGTCCTGGCAAGGATCTCCGGCCACACCACAATGCCATGATGCCGTGCACAGCGGCCGTTCCTGGAAAACCTCCTCCTTGATTGAAAGAAGTAATTCGCAAACTGCGGGTCTGGCCAGCGCTCCCTCATTCTCCTGAGCGTGACCTTCCAGAAGAGATGAAAGGCGAGCATGGTCGCTAAAACCGGACTCTGAGACAAAGCGGGTGAAGTCAGGTGAGGTGGAATGGCACGCTCCGGGCCCTGCTGCATGGGGCACGGCTGCTCTGCGGCCGCCACACCACGCCCTCGCCTGCCGCCCCTTCCTTGTCCACGTCCCCGACCAGCCCTGCCTCGGCGTCTCGGTTGCGCGCCGCGCAGCCAATCTACGTGCAGCTGCTTCGGTGGCACCATGCCACGTCTGTGAAGTTCTTCGCGGAAAACATCCACGACTTCCTGGTACGCCTGCAAGTGCTGCATAAACCCAATACGCCCTATACACCGTATCCCAAAACCAACCAACCAGCCCAGCGTGCCGAAACCGGCCAAGGGACGTCAGTTTTTCGAGCTTAGCATGTCTCAAAGCACCGCAGCGATGTCCTTTGCTTTTTTGCTTCCGCCTGAAAACCCCTCCTTGACCCAAGTACTCTTGGCATGTGAACATAGGCAACCTGTGCTGAACCGTGTCGCTGCCTCGTTGTCCTCGTTGCCCGGCCACATGGCCAGGATAAGTGGCCAGAACGACCTTGTCCACCTGCGTTCATTGGGGCTTGCGTACGAGGAACCCAAGGCAGGCATGGGGGCGTTGAGGATTGAGGCTGCAACCGACCGGTTATGAGGTTGATGGCTTATCCATTAGGCCACACTGACTTGGAGCTCAGACCTACAGAAGAATACGTTCCCTCCATCTTGCACAACCCCGCCTTCCTCCCAAGCACCTCTGCACAATCACTGACAGCATGATGACTGAGTTGGCCATCCTTTTGACCCTGTAAGTTGCATCGGTAGTGGCAGCCCAAGCCTGCTCGACGACTGGCAACAAGAAACCGAGAGGAAATGACCCGTACCAAAAAGCCAAAAAAAACCTGCCAAGTCAAGACAAATCACCACATCCAGAAGGGGTTCTGGAAGAAGTTCCTGTAGCTTCTCCCAAAAAGGACGCACCAGCAGGCCCCACAGCACCTCTGGGCGGATCTCATATCGCGCAAAACGAAGATCTGCTTCGTAGTCATTGCTGCTTGCAACAGCCCAAGCCTCGAACTCAGGAACGCTGGCTTGCAACTGCGACGTGTTCCTTCCAAACTGTTTCCTTCGCTGTCTCAAGATGGCAGCGATGTGCTTTGGCTCGATCAAGCGTTTCAGCTTGGCCGATACATTGGTAGGGGTGCAGGGCACGTTGCGCGCTAGCAGCTGGTCAGCAACCTGCAGAACATCCTCGCGGTCCTGGTGAGTCGGACCAGTACCACAAGCCACTGTTGGACGTAGCACACGATCTTCTCCTGCGCATTCGCCACTGGTCCAAACAGAAAGAATGTAGGTTCGCAGATTTTCTGCCTGGCCACCATGGAACTTAAAGAAACGGCCCTTGCCTGCGTGGCAATCGGCGTGCTTCATACACTTGCCAACCAAGACATAGCCTTCAGACGTCCATTGGGGCGATCGGAAATCGCCAACTGCTTGACTCCTGTCCTCGGCCCAACGGAAGGCCCTAGTCCTCAAAACATCCAGGGGGTCCTCTTCATCTGCTGCTGGTAATGGCAGAGGATATTCTTCCAATAGGGTATACTGGAACCTCGGCCGTCTTTTAGACGGCGACTCAACAACCTCCATGGGTCGTAAGCACAACGAACGCACAACATCACAACTGAAGGCCACTGAAACTCGCCACTGAAGCTCTCTCAATCCGTTTGCTGGTTTGCTCTTTTGGTAAGTTTGACACCATCCCCCCCCCCCCGCTCTGTGAAGCAAACAGCAGCAAACAAGGCATGCAAGTCACACAAGCTGCGAACAAGGTATGAAGTAGGCACTGTCATTGCCCCTACTGTCATTGCCCCTTCCCCCCCTCCAAACACGGCGTGGGCACCAGGGTCCAACTCGACAAAAACTGAAGCCATGTCGCCTCACAGCAGGGGAGAGAAGGGACGGCAGGGTTTGAAACCGGAACCAGCAGATGCTGAGAGCGATGTCCTATCCCTTGCACTATTCCAACAATTGAACCTTCCAGGTCAAAGGGCATGGGTTTTGCTCTCCAAGGCCCGCCTTACGACCACTCCCCTTTCTACTTCCTTCCCCCTGCCCAAATCAAAGGACAGCTGTTTTGCCCTCAAAGACGCCCTTTACGACCAAAATTGGCGTCCTTTGCCCTCCTCCTTCCTCCCCCCCCCAAAGGACAGCTGTTTTGCCCTCAAAGACCCCCTTTACGACCCAAATTGGCCCCCTTTACGAGCAAAATTGGCGTCCTTTCCCCCCCTCCTCCCCCCCCCCCCAAAGGACAGCTGTTTTGCCCTCCAAGCCCCCCTTTATGACCAAAATTGGCGTCCTTTGCTTCCTTTCCGCCCCCTCCTCCTTCCTCCCCCCTCCCCCCCCAAAGGACAGCTGTTTTGCCCTCAAAGACCCCCTTTACGACCAAAATTGGCGTCCTTTGCTTCCTTTCCACCCCCCTCCTCCTTCCTCCCCCCCCCCCCCCAAAGGACAGCTGCTTTGCCCTCAAAGACCCCCTTTACGACCAAAATTGGCGTCCTTTGCTTCCTTTCCACCCCCCTCCTCCTTCCTCCCCCCCTCCCAAAGGACAGCTGTTTTGCCCTCCAAGGCCGCCTTTACGACCAAAATTGGCGTCCTTTGCCCAAAGGACAGCTGTTTGCCCTCAAAGGCCCTCCTTACGACCATAACTGGCATCCTTTGCTTCCTTCTTCCCTGAACACCCTCCTCACAGGACATTGCTGCCTAGATCTGCCTAGACAAGAAACCAGAAACCCCACCTCAAGAGCGGCTCTCGACTGCTGTCAGCAGCAGGTCGAAAAGCAGCAGGCCAGAGCCGAAATACTGCTGAAATACTGCTGCCAGAAGTTAGTCGGGCATGTGCGTTGTTATGTTGTTGATGGGTCTTCATTTGTTGTTGCATTTCTGTTCTTGTTGTGTCTTGGTCAGACCCTTAACTCTAGGGGTTTGTATGGTCACTTCGCTGGGCGCTTGAGGCTTTGGGGGGGGGTTGGAGTGTACGGCTTCTTGGGGTGTAGGAGGGGCTTGCGCAGGAGATTGGGTGTCCGAGGTTAAGGTTCAGAGTTGGGGGTTTCGGGTGCAGGGATTGGCATTCATGCGGCTGCTAAGATTTCAGACCCACGGATTGAGGGGAGCCTTTGCCTTGTTAGCTAGGAGGTGAAGAACGAGTCTGGGCAGGGTTTGCTGCCGGGTCGGAACCAAAAACCCCAAGCCCTAAACTCTAAACCGAAGTCCTAAACCCCACAAACCTCATTATCCAGTTGCTTCTGAAAAATTGCCCAACCGTCTGTCTATGATGGTACCCCAAACCCTAAACCCGGTACTCTAAACGTTTGCCAGCGAACCCTCGGAGTGCGGGTCTCGAAACCGGTGGGGTTTAGGATCGATCCACCCCCCCCTCCCCCACCCCACTCCTCGCAGGCCGCGCCGTCCTCCCCCAACTCCGCAGAATCCTCCGTAGGGTTAAGGGTTTAGGGTTTGGGGCCTAAAGTAGCCCAGTGCCCATGAGCGAAGTTTTGGGTTTAGGGCCTAGAGTATCCCTTTACCTCTCCCGAAGTAAGCTTGCCGAAGGGTTGAGATGTCACTCTAGGTAGAGTTCAGGGTCTTGGGGTTTGGGGTTTGAGGGCTTTGGGGCTTGAGGGCTTTGGGGCGTCATTTAAAGAGGCTTGGGGCCTCTAGGGGGCGGATTCTAGAGGGGGTTTGAGGGCAGACGAAACCCCTGAACCTCAAGCCAACGTCGCGAAGGTGACGAAGGGCCTTCATCCAAGGCGGCTGCTCATCCTGGGCTCAGGGTTCTAGACTCCCCTCAGAACCTGAATTCATATTCCCTGGGAATTTAAGAAATAAAAAATATAAAAAAGAAAACAATTCCTAAGGGGCGAAAAGGTTTTTTTACGGCATTTAGGGATTGTGCTTCACGGGCTTCACGGCTTTGTAGGGTTTAGGGATGCTTCTTCGCAGCTGGCAGACGGTTACAGTAGGGGCCTCAAGGATTTAGGGCTTAGGGCGCAGGATCCTAGGGCTCAGGGTTTAGGGTTTAGGGGTTTATGGGGTGTTCAGGGTTGAAGAATGCTAGGGCACAGGTAAACTTTCGTCGAGCATCCAGCAGCGGCATCGTCGGGAAGGTCTGCGGCAACAAGTCCTCTGCACGGCGCAAACCCCAAGCCCCGAAAACCACTCGAAACTCCGAACCCTAAAACCCAAAAAAGACCAAACCTGCAGCCCAGAAACACCTCATCAAAGTCCCAAAACCCCCAAAACCCTTTGTCAGGTCAGGTGAGGGTCCATATACGCTGCAAAAGCCGAGTCGTCTCGCAAACGCTCACGGCACAGCAGCAGCGCCACCACAGCACTCTTACCTTGCGGGGTTCGGGTTGCAGGCTCCTGCGGCTCAAAGCGTCGAGGTTTAGGAGTTCTTCCAGAGGCTTCAAAAGGGGTCAGCAAAGTGCCGGCTGATTCCGATACCGTTTCGGCCCGTCAGGCCATGCCCGATGGTGCCTTCTCGACAGGCGGGTGACCGGAAAACCTTCCAAACCCTAACCCCCGCAACGCTTCAATAACCAGTAAGGCCAAGGTCTGCTGACTGCGTTCAGAAAATCTCAAGCTTCGGGCTGTGAGACGTTTAGGGTGTGGGGCTCGGGTTAAAGTTTAGGGCTCGGGGGGTTTAGGGCACAGGGCACAGCGGGGCCATGAGAAGCTCAAGCCCTCCACCCTAAATGCCCGAAACACCGAGCCAGAGAGGCCAAGTCACTGGGTGGGCCACTGCGGGAGGTTGCGGCCTCCGATGGAAGTCGAGGGAGGCTTGCGGATGCGGATGCTGGAAGCCCCGGACAACCACAGGAATCCGGAAACCGACGCCCGAAACGCTAAACATGAAGCCACAAAGCCAAAGCCCCAAACCCTAAACCCGAAGCCCTGCACCCGTACTCCCACTAGAACCGTTTCATACTACGTACTACGTATCTGTTAACACAGGGCTTATTGGGTTTACAGGGCTTGTAGGGCCTTGTGGCTAAAAACTTCTCGTCCCCCCTCAGTGGCAGCCTCCCCCCCAATGCTATCCCACCCACCCCAACCCCAAACCTGGACGCTAAACCCCAAATCCAGTCAGAACAAAGGACCAAAAAAGGGAAACCCTAATTAAACCATGAACTTAAACCCTCAACCCCAAACCCGGAACCCTAAACCCACCATGTACCACAGCAGACGGGGGGCAGGCGGGAGGGGGAGTGGTGCATGAATGCTGGTGTAAACCCTAAACCCTCAAACTCAAACCATAAACTCTCAACCTGAAACCCTAAACCCTTTTCAAACCCGAAACCCGAAACCCTAAACCCTAAACCCTACAGTTTCTTGGGGCTGTTCGGGCTAAAGTAAAGCGTAAGTCGAGCGAACGCCACCTCTGCCAAGGCGGCCAAGAACTCGCGCCTCGGTCCAAGGGGGGGGCTGCAGGGACTTAAGAAAAGGGTAGGGGTTCTGAAATTTAAGGGGGGTTAGGGTTTTCGGGCTTTAGGATTTAGGGTTAGGGTACAGGGCTTCAGGGCTTATTCATAGATCTCTGCCACATTCCGCACCCCCATCTTCGTGAATGCCCAGACGCTCCACCCCTAGCGGCCCTGGAAAGCCGCCGCGCGGCAGCGCGAATGCCAGGGCTCGTGGCAGCCACAGCAGCCGGGTTCCTCGGGAATTGGGATGCTAGTTTCTGGGGGGTGTCAAGGGCCGAGGGGTGCCTTGTTAAGGTTTAGGGTGTTGGCGGTATTTAGGTCTATCAAAAAGTACCTTTGCACAAGGACCAACAGCGATGGAACGACCTACTCTGACGTTTATACTATATCGGTTCCTGTGGCACTTCAGGACTATAGGCAGGGACAAGCATCTCCACGGCAGAAGAGGTCCCGATTCTTGCACCAAGCTGTTTGGTATCGTGCAACAAGCTGTTTCCTCGCTCAACAGGCACGACAGCAAAGCCCGTGTTGGATGTCGGACTTGTGTAGCGGCAAGAGGCACATCAAGACACCCAAGCAGGACGCACAGCTGAGGCAGCCTTCCGTCTGAACAGCTGGCGATGTCCATCAGACGTTTGAAACTCACACTTGAATCGTAGCGGCAGCCCGACGGCTACCAGCATGCGCTTGGAGAGTGCATGAGATCATGCAGCGCCTGTGATGCAGACGCCAGTGCAGGATCGAAATCACAAGCGCAGCCTTCGCTATGATGTTGCGAGGATGTTGCTGTGGGCCCTCAACCTGCTGTCTGAACGCCTCCTGTCCTGAGCCTCCATGCCTGCGTGGCCTGAGGTTTAGGGTTTAGGCGGGTGTAGGGTTTGTTTGGGTTTATGGGGATTCGGGTTGCTCTGAACCCTGAAATGCCCTAAACCCTGTTCAGGGCTTTAGGGGGTTCACCACATACCTCTGGTTGGCCCAGGGATCGAACCCAGGGCCTTGTGGGTTTTTAAAACGGTCCTTTGAAGGGATGGATTGTTGGGAAAAAGAGAATTTGACAAAGGGGGGCTTCTTTCAAACTTTTTAAGCCTAGCACCCCCACTCTCGAACCCAACCCAGTCCGGGGGGCCCTCTTCCAGGGCTTCGGTCGCCCGAACGGTGCGGTCTCCA